CCTCACTCTCTCCCTCGCGCCCACAAAACAAGACCCCCCCTTCCCCCCCCGCACTCAAGACACACTCTCGCCCTACACCATAAACTCAACTGTTAAACCCTCGTACTAACCACCAATCTCACTCCTAATTCTGAACTCTAACCTTAACCCTAAATCCTGACCCAAACCCAAGCCCTGAACTGTAATCCAAAATTTGAATCTCGTCTTCGCCCCAAGCCCGAAACGAACCCTGAAATCAAAATGCACATTCTCACCCGAACTCTGATTCGAATCTCTAGCCCATAACCCCTGACCGTAAAACCAACCTCGTACCCCTAACCCTGATCCCGAACACCAAACACCTGACTCAGCTTCTTCCATAACCCCTAATCCCAAATCTTACATCCTAACCCGAACCTCTCCTGATCTTCATGCCGAGCCCCAACCCCTAATCCTACACGCAACCCCCCATCCGAACCCTGGGGCTCACAATCTGACCTCCAACCCTAACCGCTGCTCTAAAAACTAAGCCCATATAAACATTAAAACCCTATTATCCCCTACGCCGCCCCTTATGCGCTCCCTTATACCGCACCCCTCGAACCCTAATGCGAAAATATTGATTCGTGCCCACGAGGCCCGAATCCCTTGCAAAAAAATACGGTTCGCCGAGCGCGCGGCCCGAATCCCTTGCAAAAAACGCATCGCGGCGCACAGGGGCCCCTCCAAACGCAGGCCGTCCCTCTCAAAACATACAATCCCGTGCACGCCTGCGCGCTTGTGTCCCAGGCGCGCCCAAGCGGCCCCCAGGCGTGCCGAAGCGCTTTCTACAGGCGTCCCCCAGGCGCGCCCAGGCGGCCCCCAGGCGCGCCGAAGCGATTTGTATAAGCGTCCCCCAGGCGCGGCCCAGGCGCTGCCACAGTGGCTGCCAAGCGCCCCCGAGCGTTCGAGGCGCTCCGAAGCGCCCCCCAGGAGCTCCCACGCGCTTGGCAAGCGCTCCCCAGGCGCTCCCAGGTGTGCCATGCGTTTCCAGGCGCTTCCAAACGCTCCTAGCAGCTCCAGGGCGCTCCCAGGCGTTGCCCAATCGCTCCATGGCGTCACCAGGCGCTGCCAGACGTTCTCCAGGCGTTCCCAAATGCTTCCTAGGCGTTCCCCAGGCGCTCGCAGGCGCGGCACAGGCGCTGCCACAGTGGCTACAAGCGCCCCCAAGCGCCTCCAGGCGCTCGCAGGCGCCAGTGGCTCCCTGGCGCCCCCCAGACGCTCCAGGGACGCCTCAGCGTTCCCCAGGCGCATCCAAGCGTTGCCGAACTCGAATCCCCAGGCACTCCCACGCGTCCCCCAGGCGCTCCCAACCACTTCCAGGCGCACCCAAGCGCCCCCAGGCGCCCCCAGGCGTCCCCAGGAGCTTCCAAACGCTCCTAGCAGCTCCTGGGCGCTCCCAAGCGCTGTCCAATCGCTTCATGGCGTCACCAGGCGCTGCCAGACGTTCCCCAGGCGTTCCCGAGTGCTTCCTAGGCGTTCGCCAGGCGCTCGCAGGCGCGGCACAGGCGCTGCCACAGTGGCTACAAGCGTCCCCAAGCGCCTCCAGGCGCTCGCAAGCGCCAGGGGCTCCCTGGCATCCCCCAGACGCTCCAGGGACGCCTCAGCGTTAATTCGAATCCCCAGGCACTCCCGCGCGTTCCCCAGGTCCCCAGGCGCTCCCTGCCGCCCCCCCAGACGCTCCAAAGCGCTTCCCACGCGCTCCGGAGTGTTGCCTATCGTGAACTCCAGGGACTCCCAAGCACTCCCCAGGCGTTGGTAGGCGCCTCCAAGCGCCCCCAGACGGATCGCCAGGCTCAGCCTCTAGCGACGCGCCAAGCTGCACAACGCATCGCCAATGCGTCGGCAATCTGCTGTGGAGATCTACCCATCGGTCGCTTCGACCCCGTGCCGCGCCGCCGCTGCATCGGATTGGAGCTTTGCCTAAGTACTGCGCATGACGCATCGCGCTGACGCAGTCTTGACTCAATGACAAGAGCATCCCTGTCGTCGCTGGCGCGTTGAGTTCTGTATATCATGGGTCATGGGTGGGTGGGATACGTCGGGCGGGCTTCGAATGGAAACCAAGGTGGCCCTAACCCTAACACTAAACCTTAAATCCTGACCCTGACCGGTCCGTGATCCTTGACCCTAACGGCAATCCTGCCCCTGAACCCTTAAGCCTACCCCTATGTAACACCGGCCCAACTCCTGAACCCCTATCCCTACCCCCTGACCACAAGCTTGGACCTCACCCCCAGCCCCAACACTAAACCTCACACTCCGAACCAAACCCGAATCCCACCCTTCATGCGAACACTACCAATAACCCTATCCTAATCTCGAACCCCACCCCAAAGCTCTGAGCAAAGCTCTGGCCCTGACCCTAACCGCTATTCCCTAGCCCTGAGTCCTCAGCGCTAACCGTAAACCAAGAACCCGGACCCCAACTCCACTCATTTGTTGACGCTCGATTCACGCACAAGCTGTTGGACACGGGAGCTGCTGGGAGCGCCAGGCGAAACTGGGTAGCCCACCTCATATCCGGGAGTACCTGGACCCAGAATTGCCATCGTCGCCACCATCATCTGCACAGTCCTCAATCCCACAGGTTCCTTCTTCCCTCTCCCCTGCGCCGGATTCCGCCGAGCATGTATATACCAAGCTCGTTTCCTTTCTCCCCCGCTCCCCCCGCCCACTCCTCTCCTGATAAGGAATCCTCCTGCTCCTCCCCCTCCTCCTCCTCCTCCTCCTCCTCCTCCACCTCCTCCTCATATCCTCCTCTTTTCATTAGTCGCTGTCGCTGTCCCTGCCCTCCTCCTCCCCCCCTTTCTCCGCTCCCCCGCCAACCGAGTCGCGCCGAGCCGAGCTGGCCAACCGGCTCGCCGACCGCCCACGAGAGAGCATAAGGGAGAAGAGAGGGAGAGGGATGAGGCCTGTCGCGAAAAGCGCAACGATTCGGGAGGCGATGGAGGGAGGCGAGGACCGAAAGCAGGACGATGGGAGCAGAGTTAGACTTCACACACAAACGCACCCAAAGTGAACTTCCGTTTTTCCCCCCCGGCTCCGGACGAGAACCTCCTCCAAACACCTTCCGCCACGTTCGCAGGGCGCCATGTCTGCTCTGGCCGTCAGCTCCTGCCCACCACCCTCCGCCTCCCAGGGCGGGGCCCGTCCCCGTCCAGTTTAGGTCTCAAAATGCGCACCTACAATTGCCCACAACTAGTGATGACGAGATTCCTCCGGCCCTGGCCGCGAGAACACTCCACTCACCCCCCGCCTTACGATCCCGTCCTTGTCCTCTCCTCAACCTCCTCCAACTCCTGCTCCTGCCCATGAGTCCCTGCAGCCACTTTCCGCCTACCCACGGAATCCCCATATTATTTCGTAGCCGCTGTCATCACTGCTTACA